AATGCAATGATTCATCTAATCAATTCATCAATTTAAAACACGAAAAGAAGCAAGCTCTAAGTTAAACTTAGCAACAGAAGCCTTCTTTCCTTTTCTAACTGGTGAATAAAGCCCCGTGAGCTCGCTGTTCTATATCATGACAAAAACAGGATTCCTCCGATTCATATCCCAGTATCACAGCTATGATCCAGCTCCCCAATACACCATCTAATAAACCACTAAACTATAGCTTTGTAAGGCGCCTGGGCTTAAACGGATTCAATTAATTTTGAAACTTCAACAAATTAGCACACATTCCTAACGGGTTCCACGACCAATCAAAGTACTAAGCAACGAAAATCCAAAAACCCAAACCATAAGTCAATATCGAAGACTTTTCTAAAATCCTATATTTAATTTCTCTAAACCAAACGAAAATTGATTACAAGAAATCTAAAAGGAAAATGCAACAATAACTGATTCGTGAGTTAAAAAAAAGGAAAATTGGAGATGAGCGATGATTGTACGGACCTGCACCAACAAGGATAGTTAACTTGCCAAGTGGAAGAGCCATGGAGGATTACAGTTTGGACCGTATGTTTGTACGTTGTGAGCGTATATACGGGGACAGCAGAGATTACTGCTAGAGCAGCATTAAACAAAATTGTTGGGGTCTTTCTTTTCTATTGGAAGCAGGGTTTTTCGACTGTTTAGTATAGGTTTACCTGGGAAATTTAAGAGGTGGTTTAATACAAATTTTGCCCTCACACTATAATTAAAGTTATAAATTTAGCCCTTTACTATTTCGTTTTTTCAATTTACCCCTCAATTTTCAATCAGTCTACAATGTTAGTCTCTCTCATTTTTTCGTTAAAAATTCTAATAAGAAGCTGACATGTGTAATAATTAAAAAAAACCCCAAAAGATATAAAATAATTGATTACATATATTAATAATAATTCACTCCTTTTAATTTGATAAAAAATTATTAATTACGATAATGAGAAACTTAAGATTAATAGGAATTCTAGTAAACTTATAATGAATTTTTCACGTAGAAAGAGTGAGGCTCAAAATTTCTGATGAATGAAAAAAAGTATTTTATTAGAATAAAAAAGGATAGAAAATCTATAGTTTTATCTTTAAAATCATGATCTTAAAAATAGCATAATTACGACGCTAATTGATGAAAATTGGGTAAAGTAAATAAATGGTCACTTAATTATAGAGTGTTGTTTTGTTGGGTCTCTCGACTATTAAAAATTATAGAATCGTTCTCCTACTATAGAGCATTGATTTATTGAGTCATTCGACTATTAAAAGTTATAAATTGGTCACATAACTATTCATATGTTTTAAACTTGTCATTTTCCGTTAAAAAAATTGGTAGTTGTCGGAGTTGGACTTTAACATGTTGATTGAGATATGATAAAATATGATCTTAGAACTGTTTAAATTGTATTTTGTGGATTGACTCTTCGTTTATATTATGTCGTCGAGTCAGTGCTTGAAATCAACGATGATGTCACTATATATTATTAAAATATGATATTATTAAAATATGATATTATTATATCTCAATCAACATATTAACGTTCAGCTCAAACGATCGTCAATTTTTAAAGAAAAATGACGAGTTTGAAACATATGAATAGTCGATGATCATTTTATAACTTTTAATAACAACACTCTATAGTAGTGAGACAATTTTATAAATTTTAATAGTCGATGACTTAATAAAATAATACTCTATAGTCGGGAAACCATGTGTGTACTTTACCTATAAAAATTCTAATGAATCTCGTTGACTCATTGTTTATCATGCCTACAACAATTACAACACAGCCAAATATGTATTAAGCAACGTAATTATATTTATTTTGCTAACTATATGTGAGTTTGATTACTTGGTTCACGTTTAGCAACGTAATTATTTTGCTAACAATGTGGGTTAATTCGGTAAAGGCCCCTTGACTTCTTCGGATATCACGAAAATAGCTAATCATGTCAAATGAATTTGTATTAGATCCGGCCTGACCCTTCAGCTTATTTTACTATTCAAATAATCTTCTTAATAATTCATTAAATCATAAATTAATATATTAATAATTATAGTAATTATATATTTAAGTATTTATTGGTATTTTTCTCTGCCAGATGTATTCGAATAAGACCTCTAAAGTAATCAACTAATCATATACATTAAAATCTTTTAAAAAGTCTAGATCAAACGAATGCAATTGTCTAACACTTACATCCGATTTGAGTAACAGCTGAGGAACAATTGAACATATGAGAGTCAATCCACTTTCTTATTGGTGGTCGGAGACTTGTTGGCAACCGTAGGACGCTTATCCTCTGACATCTCGCCCTGCATATCAACCATTTCCTTAAAATACCTCTCGAATGCTTGAGGAAGGAATCCTGGAATCAAAAACAGGAAGAGATTGATAGAGAAGTACAACAGGTTCGCAACCGCCAGCCCTTTCCCAAACCAATGCCATACCATGTCCTGCACAATCGGTGTAATCGTAAAATAAACGGGTCGATAATAGCCAATTTTGTTAAGGAAAATTACCTTCACTCGTGCATCTACAGGCAGAGTTTTATTGAGCCAGACATCGTGAATCCAGTCGATGAGGACGAAGATCCTCCGGACACTGTATATAGGAACGGTACGAGTGCCCTCACCGGGGGTGAAAATAAAGACAGTCCACCGATCACATTCTCCGTTAGAATCTGAAACGAAAGCAAGAACAAGTGCGGTGTAGCCGCTCGAACATCATGATCGTCGCCCCTCGCAAAGCCGCCCAAGACGTACGAGAGTGGCAAGAAAAGCCCTACGGTAGTTCCGACTACCACGTAGAGCCTAAAGAGTTTGCTGCCATGGAAAATGTCTTGCGAGGCAGTCGATAAATAACGGCGGGACGGGAAGGCGAAGCGCGAAAGACCAACTATATAAGCAGAGGCAAAGGCAGGGAAGAGTAAATGGATGAGTGGGACGAGGCCACTAATGGAGAAAACCATAATGAAAACCACTAGTTGGAGTTCGATCACACGCAATGATCCCATTATGCTGCCCACCTCCGATTGCTGCTGCTGATGCGGTTTGCGTTCAGGTTTTTCTCCGGCCGCCACGGTGTGATCATGCTCACTCCTAAGAGCCATAGCAAGTGATACGCCAGACATTTTTACCTTTTCCGTATCAAATTCACAAACACGAAATCATCACATCAAAATATTAAAATCTGTGTAACATGAATTACTTGATAAATATGTACGATACTAAGTAAATAGTGAAATTGAAAATAATCAATTAAAGGGGAAAGATCTTAGTAAGACGAAGGATTCAACCAAAGATGATGAAAGTGTGAGAGCGCAAGATTTTGCGTTAAAAATACCCAGAAAGACTGGGCGATTACTGCTGGAATTCGTTTCAACGGTTTATGTATTATTATTTGTAATCTATTTATTAAAATTTATATAGCATGAATTACTTTTTTTTAACCTAATAAATATGTGCAATAAATAAATAAGGTTAAAAATAAAGAAAATTGATCTTTTTGAGACTGAGAATTTAATTAAAGATCGGATATCAATGATTAATTCAAAAAAAATATTGAGTAAAATGAAGCGATTATTGTTTAAGTTTATTTCAGCACGTATAACTGTTTAAAAATTTATACGTGTACGTATCACACGTGTTGTTGTTTTTTTTTATTTTCTTATTATACTACTAAAATAAAATTTGTTGATTTTCTTTCTATGCACAAATTGAATTTGAGCAAAATAAAAAACTAATGGCCTATTTGTAAGAATAACAAATTCGGATGTATTTAGTTAAAATTAAATCTAAAGAATCAATATTTGAGGATAATATCTTTATTCCTCTTTGAATATGTTACAGAATACAATTATAAATTTATCGGTAGGTTTTCCGATTATACAATACTATTTTGTCGAGTCTTTAAATTATTAAAAATTATAAAATAATCCCCTGACAATAAGACAACGTTTTGTTAAATCTTTTGACTATTAAAAGTTATAAAATGATCATTTACTATTCATATATTCCAAACTTGATCTTTTTTATTTAAAAATTTGACAGACGTCTGAGTTAGATGTTAATATTCTAAATGGATTATGATAAAATTATATTTTAATGATGTCTACTAGTACTGTTGTTGCTTTCAAACGCTGACTCGGTGTCATAGTGTTTCAGGCACTTTCTCGACAACATAATATAAATGGAAAGTTGTCTGTAAAATACATCTCAAACGATTATGATATCAAATTTTATCATACTCCATTCATTCATTCAACATATTAACGTCTAGCTCAAACGACAACCAATTTTTTAATGAAAAAATTATGAGCTTGGTGCATATGAATAGTCAACTTTTGATAGTAAGAATACTCAACAAAACAACACCTTATAATCCAAATGATCATTTTATAACTTTTAATTGTTTGAGACTCAACAAATAAAAACCCTATAGTTGAGACTATTTTTTTATTAACTAGGACTATGATATATTCTTTTGTCAAGAGCATGTCAACAACGTCTTGTCAAATACATAAATAAAATGTAATTGTAATCAACTAGTGATAGTCTGATAGGCAAAAGCGTGAACAGTTAAAGCAATGACATACAGAAATAGATCACTCCAACATTCCTGAGCACCAAACATAGAGGAGAAAATCTGAAGAATATCCAAAGTGGATGATTGAAAAATCGATCTCCCCATAACTGAAATCCCATTCGGCACAAATATCCGACAACCAAAGAAACGTCATATACAAATGAATGAAGAAACCAAACAATGAAAAAGTAACTAACCGAAAAATCATGTAGAATCACATACTTAGGAGAAGACCGAAAGTTCAAAAACAAGAGAGAAGGCCAAGAGAAAATACTATTACAAATATTTAAAATATAATTGAAAACCAGTATAATTAGAGAATAATTAACTGGAAAAAGAAGAAAAAAGACAGAGGTGGACTTGAAAATCCATCACCACTGGCTGAAAGTTAGAAAGTTGTGATAGCCGGCCAATAGAAAGTAACTGTTACAGAGAAAAATAGAAGTTGTGATAGTCGGGACCATTTATATATCAACAATCTAACTATTATATTTCACTTCTGATATGGAATTTATATCATAAATGAATCCCAGTTTCGACGATTCTTTTAGTCACGTAAACGGCATGCAAAACAACGAAAGCAGCCGACGTCGGCAAACTCAACACCATCAAAGCAACCATTCCCAAGGCGAAGCTCGGCCTGGTATTCATCAACATCGACTGCAATACACCCAAAACATCGCATATGATTGAATCGTAGATCGTGTAATAACGTTTCTCCCACTCCATCCAATCCGCCGGCGGCTCGTAGTTCCGCTCGATCATCTTCATCTCGTGTATTCTTTTCCGCAGAACAATCATGTTTTCATCGACGGGTCGCCTTCGTCTTCCGCCGCAGTAGCTGTTTGGGTCATCGCTATCCGATCTTCTGGCGGCGGATATCGTCGGCGTCACCTTGGAGGTCGACTTTCTGGGTCGGTGATTTGGAAGGCGGGAAAGGAAAGGCTTAATGCATATAGATTTTGATCCCATGAGTCTGAAATTTTTTGGTTGATATTTGATAATAGCGTAGCGTTTGGGTTTACGGTGTGCTTTATAGTTTGAATGACGGTGGGCGCCACCAGTGGGGGCGGCGAAACCGTGTTGCTTAACAGTAGAGATACAAGTAAGTAGCGCGTTTTTCGAAGTGGATATTAATAATTTAGGTAATGATAGTCCAAGGAGTATGCTTAGGACATGGGTTGGATCGTGTGACTTGTCCCTATATTAATTTATATATATTAAATTGGTCGTGTTATTTAGCTTCAAATATTTAAATTTTTATTATTTTAAATTATTTGTTTGGTTAATTTAAATAAAATTTATTTTTTATAAATATTTGATTTTAGATAAATTATAATAAAATTAATACTTTTCATAATTAAATATATATTTGTAGACACACTTTTTCTAACCGAAATATACATATATATTTTTATATAGTATATATTATATATATGTGTGTTATTATTTTATTAACCAAAGATATTACATTTTACAGGTGGCCCAAGAACAAAGCAAGTGGCCCAGCATACCAGACCCAAACCCACGCTAAAAAACCCTAGCTCGTCCATCTCTCGCCTCAGCTGCCAAAAGTAATGGCCGTTGGATCTAGATGAGATCCAACGGTCTACAGTAGATCGTATTTAGGGTTTTATCTTTTTAGAACCCTAACTCCATCACAGCAACGCTGCAACCCTCATGTGTGAGGACTCTACAATCGGCCGTTTGTTTTGGTCAACCTCGAATACTTCGACGCAAGGTAAGCACACGCAACATCCATCACCAACAAACATCACCGAGTTAGAGTCATAATAGGAATCAAATACTTAAAATTCTAGGCTATAAATATTCAATGTAATCACACGATTTGGGGGGGAACACACAGAGAGATTAACGCAAACAAGCACACGGCTTTTCACGGAATACATACAGATTACACGCGAGATACGTAGGGAAATACCAAGGCAACCAAATCGTTTGTAAAGTGATTTCGGAAAGGAAATAAAAGAAATGTACTTTTTTTACCTGTTCATTCGATATTAGCCAGTGCATGTCGTTGTTTTTGACTCATTGTAACAAGTAAGGTGCTCGGTCGAGGATCGGGGAGGAGTTGCTTTCGAGCTTCCTTTGTAGATTTACTCCTCCCGAGGCCATTTTGACAAAAACAAGTTTGGTTTTCGAAGAGAGCGGAAGAAAAGCTCTCGAAAAAATAAAAAAAAAATTAAGCTTCGCCGCCGATGGCCGGCACCGTTCAACGGCGGCCGACGAGGCGGCGACGGCAGTTTCTGGGTTCCCACGGTGGATGTGTTCTTCGTGAGAAAGAACACGTTGAAGCTCTTCAGAGGTTTTAGTTGGGATGTGTTTTAATTCGTTTAGATGGGTGAGAGGGAAATGAAACATGTTTCTAAAAAATAGGATTTATGTTGGACCCATTAGACGCCTCACCCGACCCATGGGTCTAAACGACTCGCGTGTTTTTATGCGAATAGGGTAATCTACGCATTTGGTCCCCCTAACTCTTAAAACGTCCTATTTGGTCCCAAAATTAAATTCAAACTCCAATTTTCTTTTAATCTGGCCACCTGATTTATTTTCCTCTTCAATTTAGTCCTCCGTTTTTGTATATATAATTATATTTTCCTTATTTTATTCATTTTATATATGTTTGTTTTTCTACATATTATTATTAGTAATATTTTCTTTATACATATATATTTTTATTTTTATTATTTTACTTGTTTTTGTAAATATTTTTATTTTTATTTATCCCTTTTATATTATTGTACATGTATTTTTACCATTATTTTGTTTCTATTGTATTTGTTTTATTTTGACTATCTTTATTCGGTTGGTTTTCATTATTATTCTTTCTTTCTTTTACTTTACTATCTACTTATTTGTTATTTTCTTCTTGCCTTTATATGTTGTATGTACATATTATTTGTTCATTTTTTACGCTTTTGTCTTTGTTTCCTTTATATTTATGTTTTATTTTGTCTTTATCTCTATTTTTATTTAGCCTATTTTTTTTCCTTTTCGTGTTCTGATTATTATGCATAGTTACGCACTCTTTACTTTAATTCAATTTAGTTTCTCACCTCAGATCTAACATTTTTTTTTGTTTTTAAAGGTTTTTGTTCAATCAATCAAAGGTAAATAATTCGGATCACATTTTACCTTTTTAATTAAGCTTACGATTTTCTTAATTTAAGACAACTGGAAATTATGTAGTACCGAAAGGGAAGTTCAAGGGTGCTAACCCTTCCTTGACTGTAACCGACTCTCGAATCCGACATATCACTGGTAAGACGCAGATCAGGTGAGAATTAAAGTATCCGGTCAACCTATTTACTTTTAAATAAATGATCGGTGGCGACTCCAATTCGTTTAATCCAAGTCGAAGCCCAATTCCGGGGCCCAACCGAAAGACGATTCCGACAGCTTGGCGACTCCGCTGGGGACACAAGTAAGTGAGTCAAACTAAGGTAATTTCCAGTTGTCTTTTTAATGAAAAGGGTAAGTTTAAATTTTTAGGTAATATTTTGATCCTTTTTACTTACTTTTGATTATATTTTCGAGTGAATAGTTGTACTAATCTTTATCTCATGATTTCAGCATTCAAAGTTTTTTTTCACTTAAAGCTATAAACCCGAGCTTCAAACCCGTTTTAAGTGGGGGTGAAAGCGACGCCTTTGTGTGAATTTATTCACCGTATGGTCCTAGCAAGTAGCCTTCGGGATTCATATACCTTATGCCTTCGTGTGAATTTATTCTCCGTATGGGCATAAGGGAATGTGTCATCTCGAGTTTAACTTAGTCCACACAAGCCTGTGATGGGTTTAGGACTAAGGGTCTGGCAAGCCCAAGGGGGTACAGGCAATGAGAACTCGGGTACCATTTTTTAGAACCTAAACCGGGAGGCTATGGAGAAATAGAGCCTACCCGAAACCATATTTCAAACCCTAGGACATTTTTACCCAAACCATGTTTTTGTTCCTTCTTACTCTTCTTATTTTTCTTTCGTCATTTCTTATTTATTTATATGTTTTCATGTTACTAACGTTTTTACCCTTGTGTTTGTTTTCTAGCATTTGCATCATTACAAGAGGCTATTGATCCCTAAAAAGCGTTTGTTATATACAAAATAATTCAAATTAATGGACAAATGTGTTGTAATGAAAGAGATTAAAAACCCTAAGGTACAACTATGGTCCGAGAAGACCCAAAAGGAAAAGGGAGACAATTTTCAAGGAAGCTATGTGTCAGAGCTGGTTAATTATGCCTCTATCAGCCTAAAACAGAATAATGTTCAAGAGCTTCGAGATATCTGGGACAGTTGGAAGAATGATCGAAAATAAAAGTTCAGCCAACAGTACGGTGACATTGCACTTTTACTCTAGGTTAAGACTGATGAGCCCTTAATCAGAGCCTTGGTTCAGTTCTGGAACCCGGGATATAGTTGCTTCACTTTTAACCGGGAGAACAAGGTGTCCATCATTGAAGAACACACTACACTGCTGCATTGTGAAAACATCAGACTAGAGTGAGCCTATATTAAACACATTAAAAGTCAGCCTTTTAAGAATATATTAGACAGGGTTGCAGGAGTAGACGAGAAATGGGTAATTGATCAGACTCAGCGCAGAGGCAACGGGGAAGGAATTAAATGGTTCCACATAAAGTAATTAATGAAAAACCACCCTGATGAGTGGAAGACTATAGACTTGTTTGCACTGGGTCTGTACGGTTTGGTTATCTTTCCGAAAGCTTTGGGGTGCATTGATGCAGTCGTGGTGGAGTTGTTTGAACAACTTCCGAAACGAGTCAACCCAGCACCGACCATCTTAGCCGAGACCTTTCAGTCTCTTAATCATTTTCAAAGATCTGGCGGAGGAAGGTTTGTTGGGTGTGTTCAGCTCATTCAAGTCTGGATTCACAGCCACTTTTGGAAGACTAACGGGGTTGCCTACCGCCGATTTAGCACCACATATTCACCTTTGGGAGAGTTCATCATAATGAAATGGCATGAAGGTGCTTCAAAGGAAAACTAGATGAAAGTTTTTACACATCTTCAGGATCAGGATATTACCTGGAGAGCCCTTTGGTTATTCCTCGGTGACGTTCTTTTCCGGTGTGGAGATTTTGATACTATGACTTTACTTGGACTTTGGAGTGCAGTTGGGTATGCTCCGTTGTTGGCACTGAGGCAGTATGGGGCACGTCAGTTTGTCCCTATAATATACGGACTAATTAAGTCAGAGTTTGTGTATAACGGTGACAGTTATAAGAAGATGATCAAGGAAGCATCTGATTCATAGAAGAAAATATTCCGGATGGATGTTGTAGCTGTTAGAGACGTGCTTACTACGGATTATGTGGAGTGGCGAAGATTGAGAAAGAATGATAACGTCCTAGTGCCAGACTGTGAAGACACTCGGACTATGGACGAACATCTTAGGCATGTCCCTTCTGGACTTGAAATAGCCAAGGCAGAGTTTGAAGCTGTGAATAACGACCTGAAGCAGAGGATTAAGGAACTTGAAACTAAACGTTATCAATGGAAGCTAGATGCCGACTCTCAAAGAGACAGAGCAGACAAACTGGAAAGAGAACATAAAAGAGTCTGTTTTGAGCTCGAAGACTTGAGAAAGGGGTATCAAGATAAAGTCAATGATAACTCCAAGTTGAAAGTAACCTCTGAATACTGGAAAGACGAAGCTCACAGTCTGAAGAGGAAATTCGAGGGGCCTAATGAAAGAGCTTGGAAGGAACAGCTGAAGACTGCCCAAAGACGCTTGGTAGACAGTCAACATCAGAACCAACGCTTGAGAATCCGGATGACTGACTTAGAGAAACAACATGAGAAAGATGGCAAGACAATAGCTGAGTTAGAAGCTATTGTAGATGGGTTCAAGAGGCAAGCAAAAGAGCTTCAGATAGTGTCATTCGATGGAAGATTACAGTGGCATTTCCGTTGGGAGCAAGCACAACGAATGGTGAGG